AAATGATAAAATTAACAATGGATTAGAGGATATTAATCCAAAACAAGTCAAGAATCCTTACCCAAATGTTTCCTCTTAAAACCCCTCAAAATTCCGCCTCAATCAGAGCTCTCTAGGTCCACCAATGGATAATAACATCAAAACCTCGACATTTCCCCTTTTCTGCCCAATCACACCGCACCTGCTGTCCAAAAATCCGCTTTTGCGGTACTGCTTTTGCGGTGAAGTCTCCGCATTTACGGAGTTATCTTAAACTGCCAGGTTTCGAACTCGCACGCAATCATCCGCATCTGTGGACCCTCGTCCGCTTTTGCGGAAGCCTTGGAACCTTATCTCCTTCACTCACCCCGCTTCTGCGATCACCCTTCTGTAGAAGCAGCCCCGCTTCTGTGGCCATCATGTCGCACCAAGCCCTTCCAGACCGTACCTGTACCCCATAGCTCACTTTTGCGAGCTTGCACCTGCAATGGAAACTTCGCAGGTGCAATTACACCAGCTGATGCCCAACTTCAGCAATTCACTCAACTCCAAGTTTGGTCCGTTAACCACCCGAAATCAACCTGAAGCCCCGGGGACCTCAGGCAAACATACCAAACAGTCCTAAAACACGATACGAACTTAGGTGGGCCTTTAAATCACATCAAACAATGCTAAAAACATGAATTGCACATCGATTCAATCCTAATGAACTATAAAACTTCAAACTTATACATCCGATGCCGAAACCTATCAAATCAAGTCCGATTGACCTCAAATTTTTTACATAAGTCTAATTGACATTACGGACCTACTCCAACTTCCAAAATCATAATCAGACCCCGATATCAAAAAGTCCACTCCCGGTCAAACTTCCCAAAAATCTTCCTATTTTCTAACTTTCGCCAAATAATGCCAAAATGACCTACGAACCTCCAAATCCACCTCCATTCCGGAGTCGTCTTCACACAGGTCAAACTACGATCAACTCTTACAACTCAAACTTCACACTTAAGGACTATGTGTCCCATTCCACTCCGAAACTCTCCCGAACCCCACACCAAGCACCCCGATAAGTTGAGTAAGCATAAAATGAAATAGAGGGAGTAATGACATGGGGATCGGGGCTCATACTCTTACAACAACCGGTCGGATTGTTACATTATTAGCCTCAATGCTTGCCTATTGTAGATGATCAAGTTGGCTGAATGCTTGTCTCCACGTTTAAGCCTAATTGACTACTCAAGACTGTTGTTTATCTTGAACCATGACTTGGGATCTTCTAGGAAATTAACGCATGCCTAGAACCTATTGAAATATGTCTATGCCAAATCTTTTATGTATACCTGCTATTTCCTGAAACCAACTTGTGATCATATGAATTTTATATGCCATTACTGTTGCAATGGCAAGGCAGACTTGTCCTTTGCTTTGATGTTTTGTGCTCACCAATCGTTTGAGACTCCTAGGGTGAATTTAAATCCATGTCTTGTGTACTCCTATTTACATGATGCATGCTTACTTTATTTACCTGAAAGTCAACCTCTTCTTATCTGAATGCTCACTTATAGATAAACTGAGTTTGCTTGCCTGTTCCATATCTTAAGCTCTGCAAATTAGTTGTTATCATTAGGCTCTTATGTTGAAGCTTCCATGTTAAGCCTGTATCTTACTGGTCTTGTCTATGACACTATTAGATTTCCATGTTCAAACCCCTGCTTAAAGTTCCTTAGGATGGTTTTTGACCAGGCTTTGTTTTGGAACTTTGTTTTAAATAGCCTTGTTGCTCTTAAACTCTGTTTTTGGAGTTGCAAGCACAAACCTTTCCTTATATGTGCTTTATGTGTCTTTGGATTTAGTATGATCCTGCCTATAAGTCTTGGTTAGAATTGTTGTTGGTCACAGCTTAATGACTGAGTGTTTTAATCTTCAGAGCTGTTTAATTAACTCTGTGTGTAGTGTCACCTATATAGCCAAGTTTAGCATCTCTTTGGCTAAGAAGTTATTCGTTTGAGCCCAGTATGTTGGGCCTGCTTTGGTTCTTGAGGTCTTAAGAACACTATTTGCACCCAGAGTTTGGGCCTGCAATCCATATGAAGTTCTAAGCATGTTTGAAGGCCCAGATGTGTTACTAGGTTATTCTATATTCGTATTTGAGCCTGGAATCATTCAATATGGTCTGTAATAACATGTAAATTGAATGGAGAGGAAATTAATGAATAGGGGGTTGGGGTATTCTAATTCTTGCACGAAAGGGTAGAAAACATGCATATAGGGTCTATGTGTTCTATTTGATATTTCCTTCAACATGTCTTATTTGTTATTTCGTTTAGTGTGTTGGACACTAATAAAAATCATGCCTATAGGAATCACGCACACACTTTACTTAACTTGTCAAAATATGTTTTCTCAAGTACTTAATACACTTGTTTCCATGTCTACTACTCAACGCTTTTGGATAGCTTGCATATAAGATACAATAATACATGCCTTTGCTAATCTAGATATAATGAATATAAGGTTTTAAATAATTGATCAGCTACTTTTTGTTACCTTAATACTGTCTCACTTAGATGACATGCCTATAGGGATAAAGTGTTATAAAACCAAGTCTAATTGTCAATTGTTACTAATCCCGCCTATAGGATGTTATCATTTGCATAAGAAACTGTTTATGAGATCGACAATGCTAATCTTAGGTTTTCAAGCTACTTCATTGCCTCATTATGCAACTACTAGAAATACTGCCTATACGATATTGTCACCTGCCTAAGAAGCATATCTATAAAATCAACACTGGTAATTCAGAGTTCTGGGATTGTTTCACTGCCTCATTACGTAGATAGTTAGAAATCGCGTCTATAGGACTTGCAACGCTTCTAATATGCCAATGAGTTATTCTAAAAAAGTTGTACCGCTTGTACAATACTATAAATTGGAATCACATAGAAATCATGCCTATAGGACTTAATAATTCCAATGCGTCAAAAAGCTGGCCACTGCTGAACCTGCATGCGCGCAATTTGCTGCTTATGCATGGAGGTTAACTTGATCATTTCCTTACATTTATGTGTAGTCCTATATGTTTTTGAATGTGCGCTAATTATATCATTTTTGAGCATCCTAAGGAGAGTCTAGAACCACCTAATAGTAGGTCCAAAGCCTCCTGGACCATAGGCATTTGAAACGACTTATAATTGAATTAGAGAGCGTTTAAGTAAACAACCCTAACATAGTAATCGAGTAGCAGGAGATCTGTGTCCGTTGAATAATATGAGCAACCCCACCTTAAGGGAGTTGCGAAGTATTATTTATGTTGCACGCGGTGATCCTTTAGGCTAAAAAACATAGGACCCCCCCCCCCCTCTTTTTCTTTATATACTTATTGTTAACACTTAGTCATTTAATATAGACTAACGCAGTTGTACCCTTGAAATCTTTGAGATCTATATCGATCATTTATATAGCAAAATTCTTATGTGTTATGTTATAATAGAGCTTTTAACTTCTACATCCTTCTTTACTTATATGATCACGTAGCTCACTATCTTATCCACATAGTGTAAAATTTGACCGGGAACCCTAGTTGTGGACCTCGAAGAGTGCCTAACACCTTCTCTTTGAGGTAATTTGAGCCCTTACCCGATCTTTGGCGACGTAGACTAGTCAAACTGGGTTATTTGCAAATAGATGCCCTAACGCTCCTTAAAAATCGTTAGGTGGAGACTCTTCTCTTTTAATACCCATTTTAAAGAGTTGTCACATGTCGTAACCCGCTTTCGCAAGAAAAAAGGGCACGACAACAAGTATTCGCAACAACCCTGGAAGCTATGTGCAGGACCTTTGCCAATTCATAAAAAGTTTAAAATGCCCGATATTCCCAAATATGATGGGACTTCTGATCTCCGGGATCATGTAACTGAGTTCGCTACCGGCGTGAAACACAATTATTTAACGATGTAGGAGATTGAATTAGTTTTGGTTAAAATGTTTGGCAAAACTCTCACAAAATAGGCGTTAACATGGTATTCTCACTTACCTGAAAATTCCGTTGATTCTTTTGCTGAGCTTGCAGATTCATTTATCAAAGCACATTCGGGGGCTCAGAAATTTGAAAAAAGGATGGAAGACATCTTCAAAGTTAAACGAGGGAGTACAGAATTGCTTAAGAAATTAGTAGATAATTCCAACAAGAGAAGATGATGCTGCCGCGAGTACCTGATAACTGGGAAGCTATGGCGTTTGCGAGCAAGTTGAACGAGAAAAGTTCAAAAGCAACAAGGAGGTTGAAAAAAGTTTGTGAGAATATCCTGAAACAACTTGGAACGATGTATACAATTGATACAACATGAAGCTGCGGATAGAAGAAGATACGGTTGCACAGCCAAGGGTTGACAAATGACCAGGTTCGAGACGCTTGGAATTAGAGAGAAGGTCAGGTAAAAATAGGTATAAGCCATACATGGGACCCGCAGGGCGAGGCTCTCGATCTAAACAAGAGAATGCACGATTTTATTCAAGATCAAGGCAAAAAGACATGAGTTCTTCATCCATGTTCAAAAGAGAGCGGGATGCCCGTAGCAATGATTCCGATACTCAAGCAAGAATAAGAGATTATAGCTTTAACATTAGCACCTCTGAATTGGTGGCTGTTCTGAGAGGGATGGGAGATAAGGTGCAAAGGCTGAAAGAAATGAGATCAATACAAACAAAAGGAACCCTAATTTCTAGTGCAAGTTTCATAACGATCATAGCCATAGAACAGCAGATTACAGGCTTTTGCAAGGAGAGCTTGAACATATACTGAAGCAATGATATCTTACTAATATGCTTAGTGAGAAAGGGAGACAATCATACATGAAGAACAGACAAGAATCCCAAAGCCTCCATCACCAAAGAGAATAGTTAACATAACCGCAGGGGATGAGGTTAATGGATTAACATACACAACCGAAAAAAAGACATCAAAAGTTATTGTCACTCACGGAAACCGAGTTTGCCGAGTCTTGGATGATAACAGTATAATGTTTGACGATGAAGACGCAGACGGCTTGACGATTCCTCACAATGATGCACCGGTAATATCTTTACTTGTACATGATAGTAATGTAAATCGCATTTTGATTGACCCAGGTAGCTTAGTTAACATCATTTTACTAAGGATGGTAAATGAGATGCAAGCTAATGATAAGGTTATACCAAAGGCATGGTCTTTGTCTTGATTTGATAATTCAAGCGTTGTTACGAAAGGGGAAGTTGTACTGGCCACATTTGCAGAAGGAGTCATCAAAGATACGAAGTTCCAAGTGATAGATGCGAACATGGCCTATAACATAATCTTGGGAAGATCGTGGATTCATGATATGGATGATGTCCCGTCCACGTTGCATCAAGTTATCAAATACCCTTCACAGTGGGGAATCTGGCAAATCCGCAGAGATTAACGAGCTTCACGAAGTATTAATTCGGTGGTGATTGCAAACACAACAGCCAACGATGCGAATGCAAAATAGAAATTAAAGAATTCAGTTGAGGACACTATTGGTCATACCTCAATTGAAAACACACGATGACAGACTGATGTCGACTCAAGACCTGATGTGATTCAAGAGCCGAGTAAAATGACAACATTAAAACAACTATGGAGAAGCTCAAAGTTGTAATACTATTTGTCCAGTGGCCAGACAAAAAAGTTTACATCGAAGAAATTTGAACCCAGAAATGAAAGGTAAGTTAATTGAATTTTTACATGCTAACGCAGATTACTTTGCTTGGTCGCATTCAGATATGGCAGGTATACCACCGGAGGTGATGACTCATAAGCTAAATGAGGATCCATTACACCCACTTGTCAAACAAAAGAAAAGGAAGCAAGGGGCCTTCAAAAATCAAGTGATCCACGATGAGGTACAAAAACTTTTAAAAATTGATTCAATACGAGAGGTAAAATACCCTAACTAGTTAGCTAATACTGTTGTGGTTCCAAAAAAGAATGGAAAATAACGAGTTTGTGTAGATTGTACTGATTTAAGTAAGGCTTGTCCTAAAGATTCATTTCCTTTACCGCATATAGATTAATTAATTGATACAACCGTAGATCATGAGCTTTTATGTTTTTTGGATGAGGAGAAATGGACCCTCTATATGAGAAGAAAACTTTGTTTATCAGAGAGGTGGACTTACTGCTACAAAAACATGCCATTTGGCTTCAAAAATGCTGGAGCCATATATCAGAGATTTGTGACTAAAATATTTCAAGAACACATGGGAAAAACAATGGAAGTCTACATAGACAATATGTTGATCAAGTCAACACAGGCGGGGGATCATTTTCAACACTTGTCTAAGACCTTTGAAAATCTCCGGAAGTACAACATGAAGTTAAACCCGGAAAAGTGTGCTTTTGGTGTGGCTTCAGGTAAGTTTCTAGGTTTTCTTATTTCTAACAGAGGTATTGAAGTAAATCCTGCACAGATCAAAGTTATTGAGGAAATACCAGATATACTCATGAGCAAGAAAGAAGTGCAAAGATTAATAGTCAGAATAACAGCTCTGGGAAGGTTTCTATCAAAGTCATCGGAAAAAAATTTTAAATTCTTTTTCAGTGTTGAAAAAGCAAAATCAGTTTGAATGGACTGAATAATGTTAACAAGATCTGAAGGACTTAAAAACTTATTTATGAAATCCACCTCTTTAATAAAAACCAAAAGACGGAGACAGGTTGCTCATTTACCTCGCTGTGTCAGAAGTAGCGGTAAATGCGATATTGGTATGTAAAGATAAAGGTAAACAATCTCCATCTACTATGTTTACTAGATGCTGAGACACGGTATCCTCACCTAGAAAAACTTTCTTTAGCTTTAGTTATGGCATCGAAAAAGTTACGACCTTACTTTTATTGTTATCCTATTTCTGTTATAACTGCTTTCCCACTAAGGGAACATATTGCAAAAACATGAATTATCAGGTAGATTAGCTTAATGGGCAATAGAACTCAGTAAATATGATATTATATATCAGCCTAGAACCGGAATAAAATTGCAGGTGTTAGTAGATTTTAGTCGGAACCTAGTTGCTGAAGCAGAAAAAGAGCTACAAGTACTTACCGGAGCTAATCCGGGGACATGGACCCTAGTTACTGATGATTCCTCAAATGTTAAAGGAGAAGGTTTGGGTATTGTTCTAGTTCCACCCTCGAGAGAAGTCATAAGACAAGCAATAAAATGTTACCCAGTCACTAACAATGAGGTAGAGTATGAAGCTTTGATTGCAGGCTTGGAACTGGCATGAGATTTTGGTATTGAACAAATTGTAATCAAAAGTGACGTGCAACTGGTAGTCAATCAAATGCAGGGGACTTATGTGGCAAGAGAGACACGAATGCAGTAATACTTCAAAAATGTACGAGAATTGCTTAGACAATTTCAGATATGGAAAGTTGTGTAAATACCCAAGGAGGAAAATGTAAAAGCAGACGCATTGGCAAATCTCACGTCTATCGCTGATGCAACAAATGCTAAAAATGTTGTTGTGGTATATTTGTTTCATTCAACACTCGACCAACCAAGAGTGAGGTAATTTTAATAATTTAACTTGGGATTGGAGAAACGAATTTGTGAACTTTTTGCAGTATGGTATCTTGCCTGAGGATAAAAAGAAATCCCAATTGTTACAGTTGAAAGCTGCTCAGTATTGATTGCGGAAATTTATATCGCAAAATATTTGGTGAACCTTTAGCACGATGCCTTGGACCATCACAAACGAAATATGTAAACAGAGAAGTACATGAGGGGCATTGTGGAAATCATGCCGGGGGAAGATCATTGCTGAAGACATTAATAAGGGCTTGACATTATTGGCTAGAAATGGAAGAAGAAGCAGAAAACTTCGTAGTCAGGTGCGATAAATGCTAAAGATATGCCAATAATATGCATCAACCAGTGGAACTATTGCATTCAGTCATATCACCATGACCCTTCATGAAATGGGGGATGAACATCGTAGGGCCTTTGCCTCAAGCTAAGGGAAGGGTACAATTCTTGTTAGTTTTAACGGATTATTTCTCAAATGAGTAGAAGCAGGTGCTTTTAAACAGGTGCGAGAAAAGGAAGTTATGAATTTCATTTGGAGAAATATTATATGTTGATTTGGAGTTCCAAAAGAGATCGTCTGTGACAATGGCCCACAATTTATAGGTGCGAAAGTCACCAATTTTTTCCAACGGTGAAAGAATGAACGAACTACTTCCTCACCTTATCACCCAGCAGCTAATGGGCAAGCTGAGTCCACAAATAAGGTTATCATCTATAACTTAAAAAAGCGATTGAAAGAATCAAAAGGCAAATGGCCAGAAGTACTACCAGGGGTGCTAGGGCTTATCGAACAATGGCGAAAACTAGTACGTGCGAGACCCCATTTTCACTTGTGTATGGAACAGAAGCTTTAATTCCGGCAGAGATAGGTGAACCAAGCACGAGGTACACACATACCACTTAAGCAACAAATAAGAAAGAGTTACGGGTAAATTTGGATTTGATGGAAAAAGGAGGGAAGCAGCACTAATTCGGATGGCAGCTCAAAAGTAGATGATTCAATGATACCATAACAGGAAGACCAACTTGAGGTACTTCAAGATTGGGGGCTTCATCCATAAAAAGGTGTTTCGGTCAACAAAAGTGGCAAACGCTGTAAAGTTGAGTCCAAATTGGGAAGGCCTGTATAGGGTTAGAGGCATTGCTAGAAAATGGGCGTACGAGTTGGAAACATGGATGGCAAGGTGTTACCATCGCATTGGAATGCAGTCCATTTGAAGAAGTATTACTTCTAAATGAAGTTAGCACCCACGGTCAGGTATCACACAAGTTCGATTTATTTTGTTCAATTGGATTTTACTAACCATATTAGATGCTATGCAAAAACCTGGTCCGCACCAAATGATGATATTAGACCTGAAAGACACTCAAAATACTGAATTATTCCCTGTCTAGGTTACAACTTTTCTGATGGAAAAAGGGTTATGCAGTCATCATCTAAAAAAGATTTATCTCTGAGTCCCGTTTGTATTTTCCTTTTCAGGAAAAGGACCGAAAGAAAGAAGTTGATCCAGTGTTCGAGATTTCATGCTTCAATGCTCCAACACTGGGGGAACTACATATAAAGGGTTACACAATGAAAGAAGATGTATACCAAGAGCATAGTTCAGCCTGATTCAAACCTTGAAGAAACGTTTGAATATTTTCAAAAATTTCAAAGGCGTTCAATCTCGCAAAAAGGATGCAAGATATTGCCATGAGCTTCTAGATTAAGGCCATAAATTTAGTCACGTGAAGATATACCCAAATTTGTAAACCTGCTACAATGAAAGAAGTTATGAAATTTGTACAAACAGTTATGAAAATGGTGTACAAACTTACTTGTTTAAAAGTAAAATAACAAAACTTCCTCAAATCACTTCTTGTTTCATATCTGCTTCATGTTTCATATCTTTGCACCAATATGAAGATGAGACGTCATCTTCATCGGTGTTGTTAATATAAAAGGGTCCTCTTTTTAAAAAAACCATGCATATTGAATTCGCGGTCTACTAAAGTATTTTAAGTGCAAGAAAAAGCTAAAAAAACAAAGAGCATAAAGCATAATATGCAGCAAAAACAATAAAGATTTTTATATCACTACCCCGAATATAGATGGCGGTAAACCTTCCAAAAATTATCCAAAAACACAAGAGAATTCTAATAAAAATAACAAAAAACAAACACTTTCAACAAAAAGTTAGGAAAGGGGAGAACTAGGGACCATCATCCACGGGAGAAAAGGGATTAACTTGAGAAGAAGAGGGTTGAACATCGGCTTCACCAGGGGTAAGTCCATCTCCATCACCCTTGGAACCTTCGTCCCCGGGCGCAGAGAAGCTTTGATGCTGCTAAGTCTGTTCAATCAATTTTCTAGCCTTTGCAATCTCAGCATTAAGTTCAAAACCTTCGTGTCTAACTTCACTTAAAGTCTCGAAGCGAGTGTTCAAAAAAGCCCAGCTAATATCAAGTGATGACTTATCTTTAAGGGCTTCGTAATCCTTCTCCCACTGCTCGATCTCAACTTTCCACTCTTCTTTTTCTACCTACAAGGCTTCATAAGTTGCCTTTAAATGAGCAAGAGAACATTCAAGGAACTGAATCTTATCAGTGGAGGCACGAAGGTCTTCTTGAGTTTGGGTAAGCATTTGTACCAAATCACCAGCGTAAACCTCTTTTTTATTAAGGAATTCTTTCAAACTCATTATCTCTTTAGTAGCCTTGGAATGTTATTCAGCAATGGAGGATTCCAGTCTGTCCTTTTCTTTCTTAACTTGACTGGAAGAAGCGTAAACATTGCTAGTTCAGCGGAGGCCATCCTCAGTTGTTCCTTTCTCCTCAGCAAGAATGTTTTTCTCCAGTTGGAGGCCTTC